GCAAAGACCCAGTTTCAGGAATAGAAATAGCCAGTGTGGCTAAAGCACAGTAAGTGAGAAAAAACAGCAGTATAAGATGAAGTCAAGAGTTATCAAGGGGCTTAGATTCTATTCTATGTGGTGACTTACTAGAGGGTGATCAACATTTTATACCTTCTAATATTTTAAGGGCAGGCACTCAATAAAGATCTGAGTATCATTACGATTTACTTGTTTGAAAATACCCACAGTTACTTTTGATCCCAAACATCTCCTTTTTACTGGATGACTTTTCACTTCTTCAGCACAGTTATCTGGCACAGGGAACTGCTCACCCCTTCAATGAAGGTAGGTTTGTCCTTTATGCCAAAGTTCCAGAGAATGATATCTCCCCCTTTGGAACCCACAGCCAGGGTGCTGGGGTGAGTTGGGTGCCATGCCAAGGATGTAGCCCTTCTGTCAAATGGGGCAGCCTTATGGAATATCCGGTAAGAAGCCAGCGAGTGCAAAAAGGACTGCTGGAGACACTGACACAGAAAGAAAAGAATTAAGTTGAATTAAAACCCACGTCCTAAGTAAATTGCCAATCTCTGCCTCCTCCATAGATGAACCCTAGTGCCAAGTCCTCCCACCAAAGGCACACTAACTGCCTGGCTCTGTGCGTGACAATATTTGCAGTATATATGAACTAATCTTAAAGAGCAAGAGGGCAGAATGCATTTCAGCTGGGACCTTCACAGCCTAAGGCTGCTACCTGGCTGAGTGGCCAGTAGGCCAATCACCAAGGTGGGGTGATCTGACCACTCTGACAACCCGCTGAACCAACCCAGCATCTAATTTTGGAGCATCCAGTTGTCAAGAGGTACCCTGAGCACTTCAGCCAGGAAGTGCCTCACCTGCTGTAGTGATGGCCAAGCACCTCTGCCCAGCTTATGGTGATGGAGGGCCCTGACGATGCCCCTGCACGGTGGCGGGACCCGCAGGCCAGCCAACTCTACCCAAAGGCAGCCTGAGTCAAATCTTCTGCTAGAACCTGCCAAGTAGAACACATATTTTCCTCTCTGATCTCACTTAAGAAGGGTTTTTCTGTCGAAATCCCAGAAAGCA